TACATCTAATAAAAGGCTTGATGGCGGGAAAATACACGACCTTTACTTGATAGGTTATTTAATCACGACCTTTAAACCTTGGCAAATAAATACATGACATTTACTTTCCTGGTAACCCGATACATGCTTTTAACAGCCGTCAACAGAAAGCTGACGGGGCAATTTTTTTTAACGGCCACGTCATTTAAAAATCTGACTTAGCACACATGAGCCAAATCATCATTAATTTTTTGGCAGTTCAATACACCACCTTTAGTTTTTTGGCAACCCGATACACGAAATTTACCTTTGTTGGCAAAAAGCTGCCACATTAGCATTGCTCAATTTAATTTTAATCATATAATAATAATAATATCATTATTATTATTAATATTATAAAACTTTTACAAAATTTAATTATACTAATTAAATTACCTTGTTTTGTTTAACTTTTATTATCAGTTATGTTTTTTTTATATTTGATTTACTTTATTTAATTTAATGAAATTTTATTCGTATATTAAATAAATAAAGATAATAAATAACAAAATATTATATATTAAATATATATAATATATTTAAATAGATAAATATATTAAATAATGCATTAAAAAATACATTAAATAAACAAATATATTAAACAATATATTAAATATATATAAATTAATAAACAACATATTAATAATATATTATTATTTTTTATTTATTTATTTTCTATTTTTTTCTTAATTAATGCATATTTAATATGTAAATGATGTATGATTTTTATAATTAAAAGTGGAATCAAATAAATTATTATACCACTTTTAAATATAGAATTTACACTTAATTTATTTATTAAATGTGTATCAATTACGATATAAAAATTAGTAAATTAGTAAAATTAGTACTTTATTTATTAAATGTGTATTATCATTAAAGTTTTATAGTGACGTAATTAATTTAATTTTAATTAAATTTTATTTGTATGTTAATAAATAAATATAATGAATAACGAAATATTTTATATATTGAATATATATATTTTTGATTAAATATATATATTTAATAATGTATTAAAAATATATTAAATAATATAGTAAATATTTATATATATTTAATAAAATTACATAACCAAATATATAAATAATATATTATTATTATTTTATTTATATAATTTGTTATTTTTATTTCATAATTAATTCATATTTAATACATAAATTATGTATGATTTTTATAATTAAAATTGGTATAAATGAATTATTATACCATTTTTAAGATAAAATTATGTTCGTATACATTTAACACAAGTTGTGTTAGATCAAATGGCTCATAAGCACACTTTTATTTAACTTTCATTATTATTTAACATACTTAAATAAATAAATATATTAATAATACAAAATACATATATATATTAAAAAATGTAGTATTATTTACCTATTTATTTAATTTAAATATTTTAATTTCGTATTTATTACATCACATCAACATACCCAGTATATTCCCAACAAGTTGGGGTTTGGGGGGTCAGTTGTACGCAGACCTTACCCTTGTAAGTATACAAGGAGGCTGTTTCCATAGCGACCCAAGGTTCGTTGCGTCGTTTGATATATTTTTTTTCTAGAAACTTCACTAATAGAAGAAGCACTAGAATTTAATTGAGTCATTTTGATCTAGTCCATTATTAGCACTATGCCAGGAGAATTGTCAACAATGACTCTTCCAGCTCCATATGCAATGGACATGTTCTTATTTATTACATATGTAAAATAAGTTATATATAAATTTTGTAATTAAAAGTTGATAGAGTTATTATTAATATTATTATTATTATCATCATCATCATCATTATT